CAAAGTTCCCATTTTCTTTGTTCAATTTTATTTTATAACTCCAGCAAAAACATTATTGCTTACGGATGCTAAGATAGAAGTGATTGTCAGCCCTCAGACAATTGTTCAGGGACTAATAAAAACAACCTGTCAACAAGGAAACAGGGCCTATCCCCAACATAAATGTGAAAGGAGCTTCTTCCCACTCCACCACTAACCCTTGAGGTCTGTGTGGATTTTAGAGGATCTGCAGAGTCCATATGCTGCAATAAAGGCATCCTTCTCCCACTGCCTAGCTCCCACCCAATGGAGAATTTCACAAGATTGGTAGAAAGGGTTGCAATATTGCAATCAGTACTCATCCCTTCAAAACTAGGGTTACCACGTGTCTGGTTTATGACTGAAACAGCCCATCAAAAATGGACCCTGGTGGCTTCAATTAGCACAGCTGACCAGGCCACAAAATGTCTAGTTGGCAGCAAAAGCAGGCTCCCTACCTGCCTCTGTTCAATCGTCACAAGTGGAGATTTGTCCTTCCAGTTCTAAGCAGAGGGTCTGCCACTGGGACTCCACCCACTGCCTCCACTCCTCCATCCATCTCCACATTTCCCTTAGGGTACGTCTAGACTACAGGGTTTTGTCGACAGAAGTTTTGTCGACAGATACTGTCGACAAAGCTTCTGTCGACAAAGAGCGTCTAGACACATTCAGTTCTGTCGACAAAGCAAGCTGCTTTGTCGACAAAACCCTGTAGTCTAGACACAACCCTACATGCAATAACACCTTCTGTCGACAGAAGGCGTTCTGCCTCGTAAAATGAGGTTTACCAGCGTCGACAAAACTGCTGAGTTCTGTCGACGTTATGTCGACAGAACTCAGCAGTAGTGTAGACACAGGTATAGTTTTGTCGACAAAAGTCCACTTTTGTTGACAAAACTCTGTAGTCTAGACACACCCTTTGTCTGGAAACTGCAGTCAATGGGAGCTGCAGGGACAGTGCATACAGCCCTTGCAGGAAGGAGTAGCCCGTGGAGCAGGACGGACATGCCAGCCTACCCGGGAGCCAGCTGAGGTAAGTCCCACCAAAAGTCCTTCACTCTCTCTATTCCCCAACCCCCTGCCTCATCCCTGAGCCCTCTCCCACAGCCCAACTTCCTCCCAGAGTCCACTCTCTGAACTCAGCTGAAGCCTCCTCTTGCTCCCTCAAACACCTCCTCCCTGGCCCACCCAGGACCTCACCCTCTTCCCTTGCCCCAGCCCAGAGCACTCTCCCACACTCTGAACCCCTCATTTCTAGCCCCACACCAAGGCTTGTACCCCAGATGGAGCACTCATCTCCCTCTGCACCCTTCTGAGGAGGAGAGAGAAGGAAAGTAGCCCTATGAGAAGGAGTGAGGTCTTGGGAAAGGGGCAAGTTTGTTCGGTGTTCTAGTACCAGAAAGCTAGTAAACCTATTCAGAACCCCTATGTGATCTGCCATGTTCTGAACCCCAGAAGAAGTTCCAGAAGACATACAAATTTAAACACACACACACACACACACACACACACCCCCCACACACACACAAAGAAAATATAATTTAAAAAAGAAAAGTACATCTACATTTCATGTGTGAGCAATGAATTTTCTTTTTGTCATACCTCAACTTACCTTTGTCATGTATAGCTGCAACCAGGTTTTCAAAATCCTTCATCGTTCCAAACATAGAATCAACATCCTGGAAGTCTTCAACTCCATACCCAAAGTCTTTCAGGGGTGATTTATAAACAGAAGTAATCCAGATTGTTTTTATATTTAAATATACAATATGATCCAGTTTTTCTTGGATACCTATAAATAAACAAACAAGTCTGGTTTGCAAGGACAAAAATGTGTTTGTGGCAGAGCTGTCGTTTCTGCTGAAATTAAGTTTGCCCATCTGGAAAATCTACACAGATCGACAGACTAGGATCTCCTTTCTTTTCATTATGGCTAGATAGCAGCAGAATCCTAAAATGTTTGTGTTGCAGTATTGGGTCACAGTATGCAAAAGGTAGAAGGCAATTGAAGATCTTTATTCTATAATAAGCAACTGAAAGATTAATTGTGAAAAACAAAAAGATGCCCATTCAAGCATCATTTATGCCCTTTTATTCTTTCATTCATTAAATGTAACATACTATTTTGAAATATTGCAATTCACAAATTCTAATAAAATGCATTAATTATTTATTTCCTTTGTCAAGGAATGTAAATTAACCCTCACAACCCTGAGAAGCAGGTAAATGAAATTTAAATGAAAAAGCCCCAAGATCCACCTCCAGTTACATGAAAGACATTCTCTTTTAATTTGTACTTTTTCTCTTCCACTCACTCTATTTCTCTTTACAGTCCTTAAGTCATACCAGTCCCCCGCCTCTTAAATCAGAAGTATATCTTTGTGTCATGTTGCAAATGTTATCTGCCCATAGAAACACTTCCTGATAGAAGATATGGTCTGATTCGTTCGTTCGTTCTCTTGCTCTCGCTGTGTGTGTGTGTGTGTGTATTTGTCTTTATTGACCATTTTTTGTAGTAAAAACGGAGTCATTTGATTTCTTAATATTTGGCACCATCTCTATAGGTTAGAGACACTCGTACTGAGTCTCTCAAAAAGCTAAAAACAGCATTTCCTCCTATACGCTTTCATTTGGTAATGGTTTCTTCCCCACCCCCCCACCCCCACCCCATTATTTTTTATGTAGCAAAATCCAAAATGGCAATTAATCGATTGTCCAATAATACATTGTGAAGAAAACGAAAACATATGTAATACCTACAGCTTCATGCTACTACAGACTGAACATTACAAAAATGCAGAGCACCCACCTTTCAGGTCACCATTTCCATCCTTGTTGCTGTCCTTAAATGATCGTGGGTAGATCTGATAAATGGGACTGGCTTGCCACCACCCCAGACACTTAGGTGACACAGCAATAATTGCAATTGTAGCACCCACAAGCACTGGTATAGATGCAATTATGAGCCAGAAGAGGATCTCTCTGGTGACTCTGTACCGTGCCTGACCAGAGAATTTAAGCAACACTTCCTTACCTTCACAGTCCTGGTTCTCCACGGTTGCTGCATTGATAGCAACCGCGCATGTTTCTGGTATCTCCTCTTGGCTGCTGGCATTGCATTCCTTTGCATTAAGCATCTCATCTTGAACAAATCCTTTGTTTTCTCTAGCTCCTTTCTCACTCAGCTCAACAGAGAAGCTCTTACTTTCCTCTTCAACCATTTTTATTCAGAACGTCCTGTCCTTATGAGAAGCCTTGCTGAAGGTAGGAGAGGTGGCAACATACCTTTGTTCAGTGAAACGGGAAGTAAGGTAATTAGCCTGTGGTTTATAAATAAACCTGAGAGACCAGTCAAAGTACAATAAGAATGAAAAGGGGACAAAGTGCTCCTATGTTTTTGCATAATAAATGCCTTCAACTAAATGGCAAAATATTGCAAAGAAGCATGGCCTTAGACTAGTTCTATTAGGATGCAGATATATTTCTTACACCAACTGATCAAAGGTAGGTATTCAGTTGTTCATTCTCATATTAACCATACAAGGCTTTTATTACCCACTACAACCATGAAAAGAAGCAGCCTTGCCTGAACTTCTAGCAAGATACCTTTTGTTTGGCAAGTCCTTTATCTATTGAGTGAGAAGCTTCCCTGTGTAAATATGGCACCAAGCACCTCTATACATCAGTGTGTGTGTGATCTGTAAAAAATATGAGTGGTGAGCCTTCAGACAGCTAGGAAAGCTATGGGCCAGCGTTCCACTGGAAATAGGGAAACAGGCACAGATGGATGTTGCTGTGGTACAAAACTGCTGAGCATGTGCAAACACCAGTTAGGATGGATGTGGGCCAGATCTCTGTTGGGAACACGCAAGACTCAGAGCGGTAAGAGGTCTGGTTTCTCTCTTTTCTGGTCTGGGTGAGGGGAACAGAGGCACAGCTAGAAGGTGCTGACACACAGGAGCTACTAGAAATGGTGGGTGATGTGAGGTGGTGTGGCCTCTCTCCGAGCCACGGGATGAGGAACCACTCTCTCTTTGCCCAGGTGGGCAGAGCCAGGCCAAGCTTGCCCCTCCCCTGGAATTGGAAGGTAAAGCAGAAGGTGTAAGAGGTCAGACCCCTAGCTCAGTTGCAGGTAAGCCAGGAAAGGAGCCAGACACAGGCTGCTCTCCACAGGCCCTGCTGAGAGAGCCCAATACCGAGTGAGAGCTGGAGCTACCTGGACTGCCAGTCACCAAGTACCTGGAGTACCCTTAGAGGTTTTTAAGGGCCAGCTTGAAAAAGTCCTGGCTGGGATAATTTAGTTAGAGATAGTCCTGCTTTGAGCAGAGGGTTGCACTATCTCCAACCAACCCTAATCTTCTATGATTGAATGGTCATACACAACAGAAGTCATGCATTATTTAGATTGCTTCCAGTCCCAAGAGACCAGTTACCGTAGATCAGCTGGTTTCCAAAATCTTATACCAAAGACAACATGTATAGCCAATTCTGTAATAAACTGTCTAAAGATTTAGCAACTAAAAATAAAGAAATGAGAGTTATTTACAGGTTAAAGCAAACAAATATATACACACAAAGAAGTTACCATCTAGAGCCTAAGAGTGACTGAACTGTAGTTATTTTTCAGGGCAGATCCAAGAGGCAGCCGGAAGGATCTCTATGGTTTTAATTTGGTCTCTCTTGCCCAGTCAGAGATCAAACAACAAAGAGATGGAAAATTTTCCTGTGACTTTGCTTTTGTTCAGCTTCCAAGTCCAGTTGATGAGCTTCCTTGCACATAGCATTTCCATGAGTGATAGGGCCATTAACTAGTCCTTTGTTCTGCAATGTTCCTTCATGGCCCATCTGATTTTGATAATCCTTCTAGATGTGTGGGGAGGACAATTCCCAATTCAGAACAAACACCTTAAAAGTTAAAAAGCAAAACTTACATAATTTGTATGGCCTGGAATATCAACATATCAAGAGAAATTAATGTATGTTACAACTTGCAACCATTTCACAGGGTCAAAACACTAAACGCATTCTTATAAAATGAATACCTACACTTTGAGCTAAACTTGCATGCAAGTGAGCTGGTCAGGGCCCTAGCTATCCGTTTGTTAGTTTTTGGCTAACGTCTGCAATCTTGGCAAGAGCAGGCACCTGGTTTGTCAGTGCAAAACTGGCATATGAAAGGATGTTACTGCTGCTCTTGAATTTGCCTGAGGGCCCCTCCATTCTCAATGAGGCATCAGCCACTACATTTTCCTTTCTCTTGATTGTTAGAAAAGAACAAGTGACCTAGAGGTGGATGGAGTAAATGGGCTTCTTTATTGCAGATACTCGTTCTGCCTTGGATCCCAAAACCCTTGCCTGAATGAGCAAAAAATTAACCACATGTACACTCTTTTAGCCAAGTTAGTGTATATATTTATCTATTACAACTCCCCTTAAACCGTTATTTAGTAATGTGAATACCCATATAATGAATAGCATTTTTAGCTGAAACGTGCAGTTGTAACATCACAAACATCCTGTGAGGTCTGTTAATGAGACCACAATGTCAATAAACCTGTTTACAATCCTCTGATCTGGCCTGACTAATAAAGGATTGCCACTGCTTCTTTGTTTGAGGGGCAGGCCAATACCAAACTACTTTTACCCTTATGATTAGGGCAAGCCAAATCACTCCTTCATCCTCCCAACTCCTCTGCAGCCTCCATCTTGCATTTGGAGATCTTGAGGTTGGCTTCTCTCCTAACATTGTTTAAGCAGTCTCTCCAGAAGGTATTGAAAATAACCATCATTTATATGGGTTCTGGCAAATGTTAGGAACTCCTATGCCACCTCATTTAACGAATGTAGCCCTTTCATTAATCCAAAACGCAAAAACATACTCTTAAAGGCCAGTCTCCTCTATGAAAGTGGATTTTTCCTGGGCATCAGTATTGGAGAGAATCTGCCAGTACCCACAATTCAAACCCAGAGTGCTTATGAATTTTGTACACACACACCCACAACAGATCCACTAATTCCTCTGTCTGGGCTTTGGGATATGTATGTATAGTTGGGATTTTTTTTCCAATGTGCATTACTTGAAATTTAATGTTGATAAATGTAAGTTGCCATTTTGTTGCCCACTTAGGGTTTGTCTACAGTAGCCCCCTAGTTCGAACTAGGGAGGCTAATGTAGGCATTCGAACTTGCAAATGAAGCCCGGGATTTAAATATCCCGGGCTTCATTTGCATGTAGGGTATGTCTACACTAGCCCCCTAGTTCGAACTAGGGAGGCTAATGTAGGCATTCGAACTTGCAAATGAAGCCCGGGATTTAAATATCCCGGGCTTCATTTGCATGTTCCCGGGTGGGCGCCATTTTTAAATCCCCTTAGTTCTAACAGACTGCCTGTGACTACACGTGGCAGTCAGAAGTTAATCCGAACTGACTGCTGCGTGTAGCCGCAGGCAGGCCGTTAGAACTAAGGGGATTTATAAATGGCGACCGCCCAGGAACATGCAAATGAAGCCCGGGATATTTAAATCCCGGGCTTCATTTGCAAGTTCGAATGCCTACATTAGCCACCCTAGTTCGAACTAGGGGGCTAGTGTAGACATACCCTTAAGTTAACACCAAAGCAGACTGTGAACAGATTCAAAAAGAGCTCACCAAACTTTCTTGAGCAGTTTGGTATCATCTGCAAATTTTGCCACCTCACTATTTACCCCTTTCTCTAGATCATTTATAAATAGTTGAATAAGATTGGTCCCAGGACAGACCCCACTAGTTACCTCTCACCACTCTGAAAACTTACCATTTATTCCTACCCTTTGTTTCCTGACTTTTAACCAGTTATCAATCCATGATAGGATCTTCCCTCTTATCCCATGACAACATACTTAGGAGCCTCTGGTGAGGGACCTTGACAAAGGGTTTCTGGAAATGTAAGTATACTTTGTTCAGTGGATCCCCCTTCTCCATTTGTTTGTTGACCCCCCTCAAAGAATTCTAATAGATTAGTAAGGCATCATTTCCCTTTACAGAAACCATGTTGACTTTCCCCCAACAAATTGTGTTCATCTACGTGTCTGACAATTTTATTCTTTAGTATAGTTTCATCTAATTTGCCCGAAACTGACATTAGACTTATCAGTCTGTAATTGCCAGGATCACCCCTAGAGGCCTTTTTAAATATTGGCATCACATTAGCTATTTTCCAGTCATTAGCTGTTTTAAAGGAAGCTGTTTTAAAGGACAGGTTACCAACCACAGTTAATAGTTCCACAATTTCCCATCTGAGTTCTTTCAGATTAAAAGCTGTTTCTTCCTCTAGATCACTGAGTTCTAGAAGTACAGGGTCTGTGAGTGTCCGGGCTGGGAGGGGGGGCTGCAGCTATGCTCAGGAGTGGGTGTAAATGTCTAGGCTGGGAGAGCCACTCTGGGAAAAGTGTCTGCACTGCCCCTCCCCCCCCCCCA